TGATATCGATATCTTGGAGAAAAAAAGTGGCTGATGGCTGATATATTATTTCATACTATTTTATTTAAAGATAGTAAATAATAAGTGCTGCAAAAAAACATAAAACTTCTAAATTAGAACTAAATAATTTGAAAATGAATCAATATGTTAAAAAAACAAATCAGCTAATGTGATAATTGAAATAAAATGCCAAATATCGGCCGATATATTGGACTAGGCAATATATTGGTCACTTATAGTTTATTTTAGATAAAATGTACAAAATTAGAAATAAATAATTTGAAAAATTATTTTAAAATATATAATAATTAAAAAAATGCCAAATATTGACTGTTATACTGGCCTTCGCAATATATCGGTTAACATGATTATAAAGTACTAGCATGTATAAAGTGCATAAAGTGTATTAACATCTGATCCCATATTACTGGCACAGAACTTTTCTAAAAGGCATGTAGTACTTTAAAACTAATTTTCCTAGAAGGTCTTAAACTTGAACCCTTTCAAACCCCTCGGATTCAGGCCTGGAGCTCCGTCACAAAGGACAGACAAAGAGCTTCTTCTTGGAGATCCATAAATCTCTCCGTTCAGGATTCAGCGTTCAGCTGTTAAACTTCTACTTGGACAAATAACCCCAGAAACGCTGTTCCCTTGGGGACTTTTAACCCTGACAAGGTCAAAGTAAAACACTGACCCCGTCTAAAAACATCTAGCGTGTCTGATTACGCCTGTGAAGACCAGAGCGTGAACTGTGAGAGTTTGCAGTGCTGGGAAACTGAATGAATGGAGAATGAAAGTAAATGGCTGTGACAACTAAGTTACACAACTAATAAACTCTCAGGTGAGTAAATACTTAGTGGCTCACTGATGTGTTTTTAATGATCAGTGACGAAAAGAGTTTGATTCACTAACAAATTGGACATAAATACCGTGCGTGCAAATGTTTTACTCCACATCTAGTCCATAAGTATGGAAGCATGTTTCCACCACAGAATAAAAAATAAAAAGGTAATTGCAATTTTTTTTAACCTCACAATTCTAATTTTTTTCCTCTGCATTTATTTGTTCATTCTATGTTGCCCCAAAAACACAATAATATGCAAATTAGATACAGTTTATAGATACATTGTATATAATGGAAAAACTCGTTTATGGCCATTTTACACACATTTTGCATAAAGAAAAATGGTTTTTAAAAATATCTTTCATAACATAGTTGAGAATCATCTTTATATAAAGTTTGGTATAAAAAAAATGAAAATTGATTTCTGGTTAAAACAAAAATCCCACTCTTTTTGCCTTTTCATGTTTATTCATGTATTTTTATTTTTTTTAAAATAGGTCTTTTTAAAGTCCTGATGTCCTCTACAGAGGACATGGCATAACATATGAATAAAACATAATTTTTCTTATGCTCTAAAAAATGTAATGACATGACAAAATACTAAATTCACAAAACTATTTTTTCCTGGTAGTCAGGAGGATATACAACAGATAAGATGTACAATTGTTTCACTAAATCAACACCTCATCATTTGTTAATCAAAGCGCTATAAGTCCAAACCAGAAGAAAGTGAGCGAGACAAATACACAGACTTCATCAGAGACACTTGCAGTATGTCAGTATTCATGCAAGACCTTCAGATGAATGCAACTGGAGAAAAAAGAAACTACTGATGAATGCAGAACATCCACAGACCAAAAAATATCAGTTTATATCTGCATGCATGTGGTTTTAATGCAAGCTTAACAGCAACTTTAAAGACTACAAAGTGGGTTTGCTTTAGAAAACCATCTGCTTTAAAGAACCAAGAAACCAAAACTAAAAATGGATCTGAAAAACTTGTGAACTTTTCATACATGCTGCAACTCAAGCCAAAAATGTTTATTTTTATACTAAAGCGATTAGCCTTTATATATAAGAATGAAAAGGAACGATTAAATCAGCAAAGCTAAGAAACAAGTAGACAATTAACTCAAAATAACAGAATTTTCACTGAAATGTTTTGAAGTTTTAAAGATGTTTTACAAGAAATGAGTTCTGATTAGCCTTGATATCACCTGTATCTTGTATCTTGATATCATTCACTAAACGTCATTGTAGCATAGTTTGCTAGCGTGTTTCTGAAACATTTTAGCTAAGAAAAACTAGCTAGTAAATGTCATTAATAACAACATGCGTCTACAAACTTCCAGCAAGATCTTTTCAACAAAACAAGACACGAGGACAGCAAAAACATACGCAAACTTCCTCAAATGCCTATAGAGTGTCTTTAAAAACTAAGAAAACACATCTAACAGCTTTAACTGTGTAATTATTTTGATCTAGCTTTCCAGTAACGTTACTTTAATCGTTTACGCACCACAAACAATAGTTCTGAGTCTTTAAATGAAGACTAAAACACTTACCGACTGACTTCCTCGTTATTTAAGGCGTTTGCAGTTCACTCGCACCTCACAGACATGTATGTGTGTATTATTTCCACCGGCTGCAGGTCTGAGAGACTCAGTGTGATCATCTCTTATGCAGCTGCACTGACTGACTGACTTCAGTCTGAACTCAAACACCGCAGAAACTCCAGCAGCGGCAGCGAGAGACTCCAGATGGGCGGGGCTTAGCGGCACAAACTTGTTGTAAACGTCAAAACAAATTTTTTTAAATTTTGTAATGTTCACCTCGAGGTTTTAAGTCAATACATAAACAATTTCAGTGTTTTTGTTGGGCTGCAAATTATTATTTGATGGCGAAGCAAGCGCGCTAAACGCCGTGCGTGACGTAATACGTGTTACTTTTCTCAGCGCTGTCAGGATGGACCAATCACAGCCTACGTCCCAATCCATCCTAAATTCTACTAATTAGTAATTAGTAATTTTCAATACTATTTAGGGCAGTTAAGGTGGATAGTATGCACATTGGGACGCAGGGACAGTCTTTAATACATTTTTAGACATTTGTATTTGTAAATGTGTGTATATTTCTTAAATATATTTATTAAAATAATTATTTTCTAAGCGCATAAAAACGTTTTCTTTCAGCAAGACATTTTTCTTAAAACAAAGACGAGAACATTAACACTTTAAATTTCATTGGAAGTTTTCTCAACGCAGTTTTTAACTACTAAGAAAAAGTTTAATGTTTTTATTATTAACGGCTGATTAACTAAGAGCGCTAGAGTGGCGTGGTACGTGTTACTTTTCTCAGCGCTGATCAGGATGGACCAATCACAGTCGCCTGTGATTACTAAACATGGTTAGAGGTCGAAAAGCCGTTGTTTTTAGAGATTGCTGTGGCTGATTTCTGCCTGTATATGAGGTAAGATATATTATTAGGTCATGAAATTTAACTTACAAACAAAAATGCCGTCCTGAGACTGTGTGTAGGGTGATGAAGACTTTCTCAAACTGAGAAAATCTTTAAAAGAAACCGAAGGAAACGTTGTTTGCACCCTAACTCGCAAAAACACGTTTTCCCGTTTGTTTTGTTGTTGCTAACCTAACTCAACTATACATTTAAACCCACACTTTTAATTATTAACACTAGTCTTCTCACTGAAGCGCAGAAATTGTGGACTTTAATTTTGAATCAATGGCGCCATCTGCGGGTCAAATAATAACACAACTTTCTAAAATCAAATCAAATCAAATCATCACAATTAAAAACATCCACACACACAGTCTGTACACATTAGTTTTATTGAGACTGTCCATGATTAATAGTTTACACATCAGACAAGTTTTTGATACACATTAAAAAAACAAAAAAAACAAAGTCTATGTACAAATTTGCAGTGTGGGGGTATGATTTTTCACCATAAATGTAATTTCTGAATCCAAAACATCAGTTTACTAAAAAAAAAAATATATAGTAATAAAAAAAGAAAGAAAATAAAACTCCTAATGTAGCTAATGGAAAACAAAACAAGAGTTTACACAACAAAGAGCCATTAATCAATATCTCACATCTCAAACTAAAATATAAAACTAATTTCTAGATAGTAATGCAATGTTTACATGGCTTTAAAATTAACTGATGAGCGGCAGCATTTCAAATAAAAACAAAAAACAATCCAGTCTTCGCACAGCTGTATTGCAAAATAAAAGTACATGGCTCAAGAATCTTGATTTCATTTTTTGTGGTCATAAAAACTGGCTTTATTATACGCTATTGCAACACATATTCACCCCTGAGCAAAATCCAACAAGCTAATATATAAAGCAAAGGACAGAAATAAGAAAAGTGAAAAAGCCGCTGGTAATAAAAGTGGTTTTAAACTCAAAACAAGCAAATCAAACGAACTTTCTGCACAGTTTCCATCCCGTCTACTCAAAACAAGTGAAGAAATCAAATAATTATTGCATATGCAAATGAATTTTTCACATCACGCTCCAGCAGTAAGGATAGATGTCCTGTTAAACGGAGTTAATGCTCAGATGGGTTTGGTTGTGCTGTTGTAGACGAGTTTCTCTGAATCCTCGTAGCTGTGAACATGACCACCGTTAACGGCCACATGCTGATGTTTGTTTCTGCGCTTCTTCTTTCCCTTCAGGAGGCAACATGCGATAACCACCAGCAGGACGGCGATGGCGAAGCCCAGGATGATGGCGATCACGATGGCAGCTGAACAGAGACACGACAGTCACGTTACGTCAATGCATCTGGACATGTCAGCAGAGTCAAACAAAGGTACTACAAAGCAACGCAAAGATCTACTGAAGATTTTTTCCCAAGGAAATTTAGTTTAAGGACACTAGTGCAGCAGAAATGACATTTAAATAAAACATTATTACACAAGCCAGAGCGGGGTTATTATTATTATTATTATTATTAACTAAAACTATAAAACA